CCAATACCCCTATACTTGGAGGAGAGGCCTGTGCTACCAGGCCAGAAATACCCTCTTCTCAACTCTTTTATCCTATACTCCTGGAGAGGGAAGAACAACTTTTCTTACTTAGGCTTTGTGGGGTCTCTTAAGTATTCAATTCTTCCAACGTAGCACACAGTCAACCAGGGACACGTCAGTAGGACTGGGCTCAAGTCTAATTTTATTTCTGGGTATAGAACTATTTGAATTTCTTGTAGTTTCTAAGTGTGATGAAATATTATTTCCCTAATCCTGTCATTAATATATATAATATATATGATGACATAATATGTTATATATAAATTATATATCTATATCTATTATTTTCGACTCATAGGCTATACTCAACTATGGTCTGCAGGACTTGCTGGAGAGGACCTGAGTGTGCCACCAGAATTCGGAAATACATTTCCTCCAGGCTTCCTTCCAGAGGCGAGGGTCAGGTGTGGAGCAGCAGCCAGGCTCTTGGCAGAGACCAGGGCTGCGTCAGCAGCCAGGCCCCGTCTCTGATTTTCCTTGGTGAAGGAAGACAGCAGACAACCGTCTTGTTGATGCGCTGAAGTTTCTCCTCCATTGTGGTTTTCTTGTCCTCTCCAGGACTGTTTTTGTTTGTGATATAGCTCAGTACAGGAACAAAGCAGTGACGACCAACAACTTCTTTTCTCATCCCTAGTCTGGTTATGAGATGTTGTCTTCCTCCTTAACCACCTGTTCTGAGAGTCCTGTTGGTTCTGAGGTTTGTAGTGGTTTTGAGGGAAGAGAAACTTGAGGATGCGACAAGTCACTGAGGGTCAACATGCCAACATGCTCACTGGGATGAGCAGCCGAATGCAAGCTTTGTCTTGTCCATTTCTCTGCTGTGAAATTAAAAATCAACAACAGTAAAAACCCTCTTTCCCTGCTGTCTTTTGGTGTCATTGGTGACACCATGCTATTGTGAACCATACAGCACCAGAGATCCTTTTGAACATCTGTGTGTCAGGCACGGCTCTGCACGTGAGAATATAATACACTCTTGAAATAGGATCCTTGTAAGACTTGAACCACAACTCAAGACTGATTTAATATTTAGTTTTGTCTAGAGTTGGACGACTTTCATTCCCTTGCCCTTGCTCTGATGATTTCAAGCCCTGACCTCAAGTAAAGGAGTAGAAGGGGCAGGGATAAGAAAAAGGGAGAGCAGGACACAAGTGCCATCCTCCTGTTACTGCTCGTACTGAGCCCGCCCTTTCTAAGGCTGCACAACATGCTACCAGCCTTTGGCGGAGACCATAGTTTCTCCAGCAACCAGGCTCCATCTCTGATTTTCTTTGGTGAGTGAAGACAGAAAATAACAGTTCTACTCTATTGGATGCACAGAGGTTTGGAGATGATCTTGGAACAACCATTTTTAGACCAAATGCCTTCATGACAGTCTTCATCAAAATGTCACGTGACGCCTGGAAAGGCTCAATAGTTTTTATTGGTCATGGGCAACACTTTAGTAAGCAGGCAACCACAGCCTTATCCTCAGCCTTCACTAATGAGATGCACCATAGGGCTCAGGGCCAAGGCCCCAAAGACAGTCTAGCCTGGATAATATTCACTGTTCCTGGTTCATCCAATGGTGAGCTGCTCTTCTCTGCCCTGCTTGCTCAGAGGTGGGTGGAGACAGCACAGCACTGTGCAGGTTTCCTGGGCTACAGGGAGGGAGTGTATGCGTGGTCCCAGAGTTCCTAACAGAATTTACTTTTCTTACATCATTTTCTTTTCTGCTGTGACACAGTGCTCGCCAACACGGAGCGACTTGCAAACGTAGGAGCTGCAGTGACAGCTGCTTTTGGTCTTTGTGACATCTTTTCTCCATCTTTATGGTTTTGCCTCCACCCCCTTTCTTCTTCTCCAATCCACATGTGCAAACAGACATACATGTGCATACACACAGGCACCGGGACACAATTTCCCATGTAAGACCAAGAACTCGTCAGGACTGTCACATCAAATTACACAAAGTGTGACGATATAAAATACACCGGGGAGCCTGGCGGTGGTGACACAAGCCTTTAATCCCAGCACTTGGGAGGCAGAGGCAGGCGGATCTCTGTGAGTTCGAGGCCAGCCTGGTCTATAAGAGCTAGTTCCAGGATAGGCTCCAAAGCTACAGAGAAACCCTGCCTTGAAAAAAACAAAACAAAACAAAACAAAAGTAAAATACACAGGAAATCAGAAGGACAATGCACCCTCAAGTATTGGGTCTTGTCCCTTTTGTTTGCTGTCCTTATTAATCCCAACAATGGTTTTCAGTTATACGCCCTGTGCCACTTTTTTAAACCAAGTATACAGTGGTTGGTTTCCACAGAAAAACCATAAGAACCATTCATTTATTATAATATCAAAGCTGTCTGATTCTCTTGTGCACCCATGCCACTGAGCTAAAGGTAATGGATTGCACAATGAGAGAGAGAGAGAGAAAGAGAGAGAGAGAGAGAGAGAGAGAGAGAGAGAGAGAGAGGAAAGATCTACCACTTGCTGTGCCCTTACTTAGGCGTGTGATCTCGGGCACTTCAGTGACCTTCTCTGGGACCTGACTGAATGCCTCGTGCTGTCTTTTGTTCTGAGAAGCTAAGAATCCCATGTGAAGATAACGTGTCCAGGACGACTTACATGAGTGTCAGGCATGATGCCTGGAGGGACGTTCTGGCGGTGGCCATGCTGCCAGAGGGAAGAGTGAGGAAGGAGAAAATGAGGTGTCATTCATGTGACATGAGGAGACAGCATCTCTGGGCCGTCCTGGGAAAGTGGTTGAAGCTTTGAGTGTCTTGGTTTCCTCATTTCTTTCCAAATGGGAGTTATTTGGAATTCTTACTGTTTGGTAATAACTTCTCAATTTTTCAAAGTCATCTCATTTGCGTGCATACTTAACTCTGTGTGAGAGGCCTGTGGAAAGGTCAACACATGCTAATTTGTCTAAGTCCTTTGATGGCGCTGTGAACAGCCATCAGTGAGCAGTTTTGGACTAGGGCCCAAATCTATTTGGATCAACTTTCAGATTGATCATTTGGGATCTTGTCAACACTAAGACAGCACACTTATAGGTACTGTACAGAAGGCCTTTCTAATTATCCTTGTTCATACAGAAAGATCCCATTGTAAACACAACACGAGCTGGACTTACCTTAAGAAATATATCACTGAAAAAGAAAAAAAAATATAGCATTGTGTTTCCTATCATGGGCACAATAAACCCTTAGAAGCATTGTATGTGACAAGGAGACACATTGCGGTTACACGGCCCAAGTGGCTGACTCCTCCGTACAGCTTGCCGCTAGCCCTTCTGGCTGAACTCTAGTATGAAACAGCAATTTCTTTATTCCTCATGCCAGTAGAATTTTTCAGGGTCCTTGCCGTATTGTGCATTGAAAGCCTTCATTAGCATTGCAAGCCCTTCAGAAGGTAATGAATGACTCACACAAATCTAGAAATAGCACTGTGGAAAATGGCTTTTATGTAATCTTTCTCAGAGTGTCCCTCTGTGGATGCTTATCACCCCAGCAGAAACAAGTGGGAAAAATTACATCGTGTGGGGGACTCTGGGGACACGCTGTGTCTCAGAGTCATGCCATGGCCTCCTGGGCTTCTAGAAGCCACTAGAAACTTGAGAGCATTTTAAGGGGAGCACAACAGGGGAGTGAGTAAGTGAGGGACCAATCTGCGAGATCCATCTCTGGTTTCAGTGTGGGCATTTGGTACATGGGCTCCAATCAGGAAAGACATTTTGCATGTTTTTTTTTTGTTTTTGTTTGTTTTTGGTCCAAAATTAAACCTTAAATATTTCTAAAATCAAACAGTTCAGTTAGGTAAAGCAGACATATGTTATTGCGCAACCATCACCGGCATCCAACCATCCTTTCCGGATCTTTCCATCTTCCTAATCCAAAACTCTATACCTATTAACCTTTGTTTTGAAAACCATATCCAAGGTTCAACTATCTTATATCATGTGTCAGAACTGAATACTGTTCTAAGGGTGGACAGCATTCTGTTGTATATAGGGGGCAAATATTGTTTATTCACTCATCCATTTCAAGGACACTCGAGTTGCTCCTACCTTTCAGATATTTATGAAAAATGATGCTGAAAATATGAATGTAATGCCGTTTTAATTGTTTCCTATTCTCATAGGTTTATGCCCAGTGGAATGGTGAACAATAAGTTCTTAATATTAAAAGGGAAGGTTCTGAGGCAGGTGTATCAGCAATTTGAAAGGAGAAAGAGCAGGGACAGGGGATCACCCCCAAACTTAGGGTAGTTACCCAGGCAAGGTAGGGGTAGGAGAAAGGGATGGGCCTGTTGTAGACGAGGGCTTAGAACTGATGAGTTAAAGTATGTTTTTGAGCACTCTCTGGAGGGTTACAGCCAGCTTGGAAAGACTTTCAGTAGCTAGGGCAGGGCCTGTGGAGGTGGCTCATATAGGTAAGAGTGCTTTCTCTGAAAAATGTGGGGAGCTGAGTATGGATCCCTGGTAGCCGCATGTCATGGTGGCCATGATTGCGCATGCCTGTCATTCCAGCATTGGGATGGAGACAAACAGATCCCGAGAGTTCTCTGGCCAGCCATCTTAGCCCACACCCGTGAACTGCTAGTTCATCGAAAGACAGGGTGTCAGGCAATAAGGAGGAGAACAGTAAGGGAAGATGCAATCTGTTCAATGGGCATATGTGCACTGACACACTGACACACTATTTGCTGGTCCCTTCTCTCTCTCCCTCTCTCTCTCTCTCTCTCTTTCTCTCTCTCTCTCTCCCTTCTTCCCTTCCTATCTCCTTCCCTCCCTCTCTCTCTCTCGCTATCTCCTTTCCTCCCTCCTTCTCTCTCTTTCTTTCCCTCTCTCTCCTTCCCTCCCTCCCTCTCTTTTTTTCTCGCTCTCCCTCACTCCCCCCGCCACACACACTTGGGCCAGGGTCAGTGCTCCTGGGGAATGTTTAAAGAGACCATGTAGAGGAAGCCTATTGGCTGTTTCCCTGTCCCCTCCATTGTTGGGTGAGCTCCTGCCATAACATTCTACTCCTTGCCTGGATATGGTCCAGCTACAGTGTGAGTATAAGAACAAGAGACATTTGTATGATCTTAGAGAGTTCTGCCTGTGAAGCTGTTACGAAGTGGTGAGGAGCAATACTTTTCTTTTAGCTTTCTGGATTCAGTTGTCACTTGGGAGCCAACTCAGACACTGGATCTTAACACGTGCCTCTTATAGGATCCCAGACGTGATCTCCAGAAGATACTGTGTACAAACCTTCCTGGCTGTGAGGAACTATGGGTGAGAGTTCAGATGAAGTGGGAATGGGCTTGGAAGCCGTAATTGTAGCTTAGGACAGTTACTTTATGTGTTTTAAAGTTGTCTCTGACATGGTCTTCCCTTGTTGACACAAGTTCAGCTAACACTTCAGGGATCTGCCTCCTGCCACTGGCGCTGAGCAATGACCAAAGCATGCTAGATAATAATTAGTCTTGGAACGATTAGCATCCCATGTACTCGGGTTTAAAAGGACTTATGTAACTGGTGTTCTACTTTTTCCTAGAATCTTTGCCTCTAAGGACTCGGTATTGCAAAGCGAAGAAGAAAAGGAATCCAAGATCTAATGGTACATCGCAATATTTAATTAGTACCCCTAGCCAACTGATAAACACATATTCCATGCCCTGAAATCCTACAGGAGCACACCCAAACGCTTCCAGGGGCCTTTTGCCACATAATTGTTGACCATTTGGGCCTGAATTTCAAGAGGACACATTAGTTAGCGGCAGGGGGTTGGTGTGTGGCCGGTGATGGGGCTTGGCCCTGTGACAACTTGGATGGCTTGCCACTGATTTAGAAAGACCAGCAACCCGTGCTCTGAAGAGAGAGCGGGTGGGAGAACAGAGCTCTCTTCAGAACACTAATGAGAATAAGATGAAACCACTTCAAAAAGAAACCCAGTCAGTGGCGGAGAAGGGTGGCTGTCCATGTGGCTGACTGATGGTTGACATCTCCACAGGGTCATGCCTCGTATCTAGAGCAGACTGACAGGGATCAGTGGGGGGATCCCTTTGAGTGTCCAGGCAGCTGTCACCAGAACCTGCGTGCAAACACAAATGTGCTTTTGTTTAGTTGTCCAGGTTTCTCAACGTTTCGATCTGAGGCTCCTTGAGGCTAGGCTGGTCGCAGAAGACGTAGATTTTTGTGTATGTTGGATGTGAGACGTAAGTAAAAAGAGCAGACATTTCCTTTGCGATTTGAGCATCTGTGGAAACAAGGTGGCTTTAGGAATGGTGTGGGGGACAATGGAGCTAGCCTTGGCTATATCTGAATGTGAGTAATTTGAAATGAGCATGTGTTATTGTAACTGTCAGGCTTCCAACTTCCTCATTTCACAATGGGGTAGAAGTGAGGTGGAGGTCACTGGGTTAAATGGCCTCTACTCACAATCTAGAGAGACCTTAGATTTTGCAAAGCCACTGAAGTAGATTGTAGTATGCTGTATCTTGTTTAGAAAGACCCTTTCCACCTCAGAAGAGGTTTGCTAATTTTACCACTTTTCCACGAATGGTCACTGGCTGCCCAAATACCAAGAGCTCCTGGATTAGATTGATAAACATCTCTGCCTCTCACAAGCCGACTCTGTGACTCGGTTATTCTGACGTGTTCTGAGGGGTAAGCCATGCTGGTGTTTGCCTAACTCTGCCCTGTTTCCATTGTAACCCGAGAGCTGTGACAGGTATGTGAGCGTCCCTGCCTCGCTCTCATTCTCTGAATCAGTTGGCCTCTCTTGAGCAAAACAACTGAGAGCTGGGAAATATGAGTCTTGAGTCTCTTTAGCGTCTGCCAGTCCTGACGCTGACTGGCTGTCTACCCGTGCAGGATCTCAGTCAGCCAGGTTGTGAGGCCCAAGAAGGCTTTTGTTCTTCGCTAGTCACTCATAGGGCCTTTAAAAAATGATTGTGTGTATGCTCTGCCTGTGTGTACGTGCATGTACATGTGTGCATGCAGATGTGTGAACATGCCAATGCAAACATGCAGAGGCCAGAGGCAGTTCTTTCCCCACTAGGGGACCCAGGGAGTGAATGAAGATTGTCAGACTTGAGTGGCAAGCACTTTTACCTACCCAACCATCTTGCCACCCCAGGGAACCAGTTTTGCCTTCCACCGTGACTCTAGCCCTTTATTACAGTGTACCCATTCCAAAGTTCTTCCTTTAAGCAATTAGCTCATGGGGAGTGAACTTTGGGGAGACAACCCCCTGTTTGGGGGGCAGCTGAAGGATATATCCCCAATGCAGAGTCAGAAAGGATTAAGCTAAAGGTTTGGAATCTTTACGGCAAAGAGAGTTTCTGGTGTGGATCTCCCACTGTTCCCACTGACTGAACTTGCTGGGGACACCCACAGAAGTGGCTCATGGGACCATTCTGCCCACAAGCATTTTCAAAGCAAAACATAGCCAAATAATCCTCTGTTCAGCATACATAAAAGTCATTGTCTCAGAATTCACTTTCAGCATGACTTTCGTTCTTTTAGGTTGCTTGTTCCGCGGATTTTGCTGGACCCAGAGAGGGAATTACTGAATCTTCTGAGAACCATGTCTTCTGCCCCATGAGTGACCTTCTCAGTGTGGCGCCATGCCTCAGGGGTGGTTAGAGACAGTCAGGAGTCTTCTCAATAGGGGAAGTGTGTGTGTGTTGGGGTGCTGTGGGGTGAGCAGTCGGCCTGTGTTCTCCGACTCTGTTCATTAGACATCACAGGCGGTGTGGCTTTCCTTCAATTGTGGGGCATCTTTTCTCTGAATTGGCACCTGGTTTGGCTGCCCAGTTCTGAGGTGCAGGGTGAAGAAAACTGACAGAGGAGTTGGCACCATGCTGCCATTAAAGGTTAGCTTATATCTGTTTTTAAAAAACTGCTAATGCCTGAGTTGGGTGATGTAATAGCAAATCCTTCTTATGTTCACCCATAGACACTTTTTTTTCCCAGTGAATAAAAGTTCAATTGCAACTATTTGGAATTCTGGCAGCCATCAAATCTCACCCACCCTCCCTTCCTTCCCCTTCCCCTCCTCTTCTCTTCCTCTTTTTCATTTGAAGTTCTTTTGCATCCAAAGCATAGTAAATTTTTCTTTTACTAAGAAATGACTGTGTGGCTACAAATTCACATATTCAATTTTTTATTCTTATCTTAATGTTCTGTTCTCCTCAGGCTCACTTGACAATTCTGTTCACCCTGCAGTTCGATGCTCTCCAAAGCTGAGACAGTTAACCTTTTCCTTCCATTTTCCAACTCCCTCTCTCTCTCTCTCTCTCTCTCCCTCTCTCTCTCTCTTTCTCTCTCTTTCTTCCAGTTCTTGCTATTTTCTTCAAAATAGGTGGAAAAAAAAAACCTAGGAAGCATTTCTTATCACGTTGTCAAAGCCCTCTTGTGGGATGAAATTCAGCTCCTTCACAGTGGCCCTTTGATAGCTGAAAATCTGGTGTTCAGCAATTACTTCTTTTTGAGAACTCCAAGTACATCCAGCCTTGCAGTTTTTTAAACAATCGGCTCTTTTCTCTGGGTCCGTTTCTCGTCTCACTTGGTTCCCCATAGAGAAGGAAGACAGACCCTCTGTTTCTGCTGAGGGACAACAACAGACATTTATGGCCCGGCTGGAGGTTGAGGGCTGGATTGACGGAGGCAGACTTTCACGGTTTCCTTCAGCTGGAATTGAGACCTGGATTTGTTATATATTTGTTTAGGCTTAGTTCAGGCTCTCTCTTACAAATCCTGGTGGGAGATAGAAAGCAAAGCTGCACCATGTGTGTTGAACTTGGAATGAGAAACTTTAATCCTTGAAAAATGGTATTGTGTAGCTTCCAGACTGCAACTAATCACGGCAGATTCAGACAGTGGCAGGAACGTTCCACTTTCCCTTTTAATAGTCAGGGTGCCCAGCCGTGCAGTAATGCGACCTTCTGAATGCATATTTCCCCGAAATTTCCTCCAGGCCAATATTTACTTTAGTTGCTGAAACCCCACTGGCTTAAATGAAGTACACCAGATGTTTTCCATCTGCAGACAGTGCACCTGACAGTCAGAGGCCAAGCAGGTGGGCGGTGACCAGCTGTTCACTTGCGCCTTCAGCATCAGTAGACATTTTAACTGTAGGCAGCATGTAAAAGGCTCTGTCTATTGGGCACTTACGTTCTGGGTCCTCTGCTGCAGGCCTCAGCTTCATTATCACATTTATGACTTCTGTGATTCTAAGAAGTAGACACTGGTTCAGCACTTTATTGATGAGAAAACCAGGGATCCAAAAAGATAAATAACTTCTCCAAGGTCACATAGATAGAAGTCAGAGAGCAAACCTGGGGTCTGGGCATAAATCATTTCTGTGCTATAAGGATGCTATCTGGACTAGCCTTCCTGCTTCTGCTAGGTGAATCCCTGTAAAAATGACGTCATCCTTGGGTACCTGGGTCTCACCCATGCCAACTCCGCAGTTGCATCCTATATAAGAATGCTCTCCATCCTTGGGATTCTGGGTCCTATCTTATGTCAAAAGACTCAGCCGTTTTGATTTTGATAAAGTTATTTTTCTTCTGCAAAAGTATCTCTATGTGTGCACATTCATGCTTGAGTTTCGGTAGACTTTACTAAGGATACGGGGAACTGGAGGGTGATTTCCATCATCACATGTCATATAAACTCCGCTGAAATGGTCTGCAATTCAGAAATCCATATCGTTTGTGTCAAGTTTATTGTCACCCTGTCTCTTGCTAGCCTGTGGTCTTGTGCTGTTTTCTGCGGATGTTTCCATAAAGACAGTGTCCTAAGGGGAATTCTGGTGCTGCCTCCTGAGGTAGTTTCTTTTCAAATTCTTTCAAAGAAGGAAAGATTCTCTTTGCTACTTTCCCCTCCCTCTCTCGCTCCCACCTTTGCTCCCTCCTGCCCTCCCTCTCTCCTCCCCTCCTCCCTCCCCTTTCTCTCCTCTTCTTGGAAAGTATTGGATTACTATTTTCTGATATACAAAAATATTTCTATTGCATTTTCAGAGACTCTTTCCTTTCCCTTCAAGCTACCCATTGGAATAATTTATTTACCATCTTTACCCCAAGTTCCACCACGAACTGATGAAGGAGTGACTGCAGAGGCATTGCCTGCAGTGAACCATTCCGCTCGAAGGACACAGGTCCACAGGTGGGGGCTCGTGGTCTGTAGATCCCGGCTCCGTGACCACTGGGTCCAGCGACTGTCTCTAGACTGCCTTCTTTCCCTCAGAATGGGAGTCGTCACTTTAGGGAAGAGAAGAGAAGAAGAAGAAGAAGAAGAAGAAGAAGAAGAAGAAGAAGAAGAAGAAGAAGAAGAAGAAGAAGAAGAAGAAGAAGAAGAAGAAAGGAAGCACGTGCCTTAAAGGGTAGAGAAGAGAGCCCATGAGAGTAGAGAACTGACCTGAAACAGGATGGATGGAGCAGGAGTTTGGCAAACAGGAAGCTCTGTATATACACATGCCATCATCATTTTGGAAACTGAATTACTTTTCTAATTATAAAATTGATGTACATAAAATCATTTTGAAAAGAAAATTTTGGAAAATGTGTCAAAGCAATAAATAAATGTATAAATAAGTAAATGTGTAATTTCATCATCCAAGAAATGTCTTTTGAACTGTATTTCTTTATGAGTGGATTTTTTTGTTTCATTTTTTTATGGTTGTGCTTGTCTATAGTGCTCTTGCTAGTGCACACCCCCACGCACACATTTATGCATGCACCAGAAATGACTATACGCTTACGTTTTAATAGGCAAAGTAGAACACATAGGGCTTTGCCTACCTGGGAGACATATGCATTGTCTGTATTTTTCTCATTTTTGTTCCTTTCCTGTGAACCTGGCATTTGCTGGCTCAGCTCTGCCTTCCTACTGCAACACTAGCATTCCTGCCCCCTCTCTCAGGATGAGCCCTGACTACACAGTTGAGTCTACATAACCTCCCTTCTCTGTAGTCCTCTGGCTCCATGTGGCAGAAGTATCAATTGACACAGATTTTATACCTGGAGGAACTGTTGGAGACAACTGAGGATTCTCCTGGATCTTTTCCTCTGCCTATGAGCTGCATTGTTCTCACATTCAATAGCACAGTGGAGTAATATATTACTCCACTGTAATATAATTACACGTGTAATGGCACGGAGGTATAACCTTTGAAGGCTGGCAGGCCTACGTTCAGATCCATTTTTTAGCCGAAGTTTTGCCGTCTATGAAATGGGATATTAATAGTAGCTGTCCTCTACTCAGGAATGAATGTATTTGTAGAGATAACCTGGGGAGGTTCTCAGGGCCGTAAGTGGTGTGAGCTCAAACTATGAATTCAGTAGTTCACCAGCTCAGGGTCGTACAGTAAAGTCATGTGATTGATCTGTTTGCAGACTCGGTTCCCCAGGTGACCTGCACAAGACTGAATGTGTCAGTTCTAGCAATCTGCAAACAGACACCTGGGATGAGTTGAAGAGGCAGGGATCATAGGATCGAATCTTCGCACCGGCTACTTAAGCAATCCCTTTGTTCCAAGCTCGTCACAAAATCACAATTTTCATAATAATCCTACAAAGGGGCCATCACCACCTTGTCAGTTATGGTATTCTCCAGAGGAAGCTGGCTTAAATGATAGGAAAGCTTATTTATTCTCTTCCGTGGTAGAAAGCATAAAATCATGCAGTATGCAGAGTTGGTTGATGTAGCTATTCAATACAGCAAGTGAGGCCAGGAGTTGCTGTCTTCTATCCTGGCAACAGCTCCATTCTAAGGCCAGAATCAGGACCTCCACGGTAGCTCCAGAATGGCAGCCGTGCAGAGCAACATCTAGGGTGGGTTCCTCTTGTCTGTAGCTCTGTTGTAGAAGCCAGAGGATTTCTCCACATAGTTGTAGCCTGTTTCTGAACAAGTCATTGTAAAAGCACACAGAATTACCCTTGGGCTTCTCAGATCCACACCTGTGGCTAAAAGTGGGAGTAGCTGCCCTGAGGTTCATTGCTGCAGTCAGTGTATGTGTGTGTGTGTGTGTTTGTGCATGTGTGTGCGTGTGTGTGTGTGTGTGTGTGTGTGTGTGTGTGTGTATAGATATTAGAAAAAAAACCAAACAATTTTATCTTGCTAGAAGAAAGAAAGGGAACAGTTTTTGTACCCATAGCCTCTAATCCATGGGCCAACACAGTTGAATAAATAAGCAACTAAAATTCTAATCATCTGACATTCTGTGGCTAGCAAGATTTGACCACGTTCAAATCTATCTGATTCCTGTGATGATGAGTTTCTCAGACAATTAATAAGAGAGTGTCCCCCTGTCTTCCCCAACACGCAAACCACAAAGTTCATTGCAAGGGAGATTCTTTGAAGAGATTATAAAAGTTTTCAGAGCAGTGGAAGCTTAATACTTTGCAATGTGGCATGCTGAGAACATTGCGTGCAGCCAGCATGTGCTGGCCCAGAGCCCAAGCCGGGGTGGAGCCGCTGGAAAAGCAGCGGAGGTGAAAGGCATTCCACTCTACACCTAGGTTGTATAAAACACACAATCATGGGTCAGTGGTGAGCTCTGTTGAAAGGAGAGGGAGGGAGGAAGAAAGCGCTGGCCAGGCATGTGTCTGAGGACGCCAATACCAACTTTCACGGTCTTCAAATGTTTACTTCCCTGTTTACCATGAGATCAAATGAGGAGCGTGTTCTTGTTTCAAGCATGTGGATGGGGAATGTTAAAGAGTCAGAGTTTAGTCTGAGGTTCCAAGTTCAAGAGCAGCTCTTTGCTGGCTTCCCAGTTCACATTCATTCTTTCCCCCACAAGACCGCGTTGTCAGCTGCCCTTCCCACCTGTCCACTGGGATTTTACCATAAAGCCTTCCTGTAAGTATGTGCTCTCCCTGACCACCATGCCTTCCGACACAGTCTGCAGGACAGCCATGTTTGTGGCTGTTTGTTAGACTTCAGCCTTTTGTTTAAACTCTAGGACTCGGTCTCAACCACCTCTGGACACCTCCTTCATTTGGTCATCGCACATGCTCTCAAAGTCAGTATGTCCAAATACATTTGAATCCACCTCCCCCCCCCAAAAAAAACCAAAGAAGAATGCTTGTTTCTAGTTCGTATTCTTTAAAACAGTTTTAATTTTCTTGAGTGCATCACACCCGGGTACTTTATTAATATTGTCCTTACCCAACTGCCCTTGTGCTCCACACTGACTTCAAGCTGTGGACCTTTTCTTTTGAATCTGACACAACAGGTTGTTCCAGATGGAGTCTTAGGATCATTTCGTCTCCTAAAGGGCATCTAAATAGCCACCACATCTGGGCAGTTCTTTTTTGCCTCCTACCCAGCCACCACCCTCTTTCACCCCTCTCGGCCAAGCCACAGTTCTCATTTACATCTTTTTACTCATGTTTTAGTTCAATGTCCTGGCCTTTCTCTTTCTCCATGCCCCTCCCACTCAACCCATCCCCCACACTGTCACTGACAGTGCCCTCGTGAAGCAGATGCAGCTCCAGCCCTTCAAGGATACACTGGGGTTTGCTGTGTGTGGTTTTTCCCTCTTAGCAAACTCAGCTAAGGCCCTCCACAGGTGTAGCTCAGTTCATTAGGGAGAAGAGCAGGGTTGCTGAGAGAAATTGTTGATGTCCTTCACCCCCATTACCAACATCCCTCCTGATCCTCCTGGGGAAATTATTAAACCTTAGTTGTCATGATTTCCTTTCATTTCTATCTACCATATTAGCTAATAAAGGACAGCAGAGAAATTCTGTTGAAAATGAAATCCTTTCAACCATGGACCAAGAAAGTAAGCCGCTAAAGATTAAGCTAACAAATGCTTGTCATTCAATTCTTCCATTGTATTTTAAACTTTTTGAGGCCCTCCTGTCTCACCGTGTGTCTCACCCTTCATAAGAACCTATTTCTGGTAGTGATCTCAGTTCTCAGAAAACAGGTTGGGGACCTTTCTACACTTCCTTCTCGCCCTCAGAATATCCCCCGCTCTGTCTTATTGTGGTAGAATGAGAGCGAGATGTTCAAAGTTTACATTACATGCCAGAGCCGGTCCTACACTGGTGTGTGTGTGCACAGATTCACATATTTCAACTGATTTAAGAACTTGAGGATCTTGGCTTCACCCCCCACTATACTCAAAATCTTGGCAATGAAGGCACAGAGAGCTGGGGTAAGTCACCCAAGGTCATAGCGTGTGATTTGTCATAGCCCAGGAGCAGAAACCCAGGGTGTCTTGTCAGAGTGCCAATGATCTCGACCACTAATAACATCAGAAAGCAGGAGTGAGGGCTCAATTTTTTTTTTGTCTAAGAGTCACACTTAATCATTTGTTTTTATAAAAGATGTTATAACTTAGTTACATTTTTTTTTTTTAAATTGGGAGCAGACAGGACCCTGCTTGATTTTTGTGCTCCTGGCTTGGTCTAGTGTGACTCAGTCCTGATGGACACATTCTTCAACTGCTACTTAGACACGGGACATGCATCTCGCACTCACTTAAGCTAACAGATGGCTCCTCCTCACAAGAGAGCTGAGTCATGAATCTGCTGACACGCTCTCTCCATTGTGCACCGCGAATCTTTCTCTTCTGTGCTTGTGTAATGACACATACATTTTATCCCTAACTACCCTGATAAATCAATCACAGAGCATCTCTCTGCCGGCCAGACTTGCTGACTTGAACTCCGAGAGACGATGTCAATGAAATACAGGCCTGTGCAGCAAGCGAGGTTATGGGGGGTAGAGGGAAGGCAGGGTAGGGGAGTCCTCTGGTGATTCTGATAGAATTCAAATCCAGACTCCAGGACATCTGAGCAGGTTAAAAAAGAGAACTTGTGTATGTATGTGTGTGTCAATGCATGTGCATGCCCATCTGTGCACATGTGTGGAGGGGCTGGATTGCACAGAAGGCCAGGAATAAAATTAAGCACGATTTCAAACTCCGTGTTAATCACTGTTTTACTTACGCTTTGGAGAGAAGAAGATGATCGTATGACTTCAGATATAGCTCAGAGTATATCATAACCATTCCTTATTTTCCTTCCTTCCATATCATCTCCCTTCTTTTTTTTCATTTTTTTCATCTCCCTTCTTAAGAGGACCCTTTCCCCTTTCAATCCCTCACCTTCTCTGTGTCTTTGTAGTTCTTAGGATTTTCCTGCAGTGGAAGAACTCCCAGGATTTGAGAACTATGAACTAAGGATCCTAGGGATGCGCTCTCAGTTTTGGCTCAGGGACAGGCTTCCTTTGAAGGATGGATGGAGCTCGTCTTGGGTGGGTGGTTGAAGAACTCTCCCTCCATGGCACAAAATGGTTTGGGTGCCTATGCCCTTTCTTATCCCCTTGTCTTCTTTTTTGCCTTTGGTTGAGTCTGAGCTTAAGATCAGCAGCCTTACCCAAAGGCCGCTGCAAGAAGGCTAATGTGATTGGATAGAACAGGTCATGTGCTGTAAGCCTGGACCAGTCTTAGGCCTTCTCTCTTTAAATGAAGTGAGGATATCCCCTGGAGCCCTCAGGAAAGCATTTGGCATGTTCAGACACTGACTAATGTTCAATCTCTGCTCTTGGTTG